GACCCTGTCTCTCTCTCTCTCTCTCTCTCTCTCTCTCTGGAAAGAAATTCAGGGGCTGAAGATTGTTTTCACTGGTAAGCCAAAGGAGTTTAAGATCAATGCTCAATTTGGGGTGATTTCTCTCTCTTTCTCAGGCCTAGAGGCGAGACCTCCCATGTAGAAAGGGGTCCCTCCCACACTCTGCCCCTATTCCATACTTTGTGTCCAGCAGGGACTAGAGTGAGGCCTCAGGGAAAGGGGGCCACTTAGACGGTTGCTTAGCGAAGCAGATTCTCTGTGTGGTCTGACCTGACTCAGACTCAGACAAAGGGCAAAGCCTCGGCGGATCCCTGCTCTGTACCCTGTGGCAGACAAAGTATTCGTGTGTTCAAGGCCTGTCTGGCTTAGTAACACCTTAACCCCTGTTTTTCCCCCACTCTCTCCTCTACCCACAAGTAACTAGCACAGAGGTAGGCACCCACTAAATATGCTCTGATTGACAGAATGTGGCAGAGAAAACTGTTTGCACTCCTTAAAAAGGAGCACACATTTAAGCGAGGGTACCAGTTCAGTTGTATGATTGTTCTTCAGCAGAACAAGGGCAGGACATCAGGAAATTGAAGGAGTGCTCTCCTGTATCTTTGTAAAAGGATATATATCTCTGCAAAATGCCTCACAACTCAGTTTCTCTAAGGAATATGATGGCTCTATTTTGAAAGTAATGGCTAGTCATATGGACTTGCTAGAGTGCAAAATATGTCCTTGGTCGGGGGACAGTTTCCCCAAGTGCTACTAAAAGGAGAGGCAGGATCCTGGATCCTCCTGTAATGTGTCTCTGTTCAAATCAATGCCACTGAGGAACGTTAAAACCTTGGTAGGTGCCCTTCAGACCGCAGGCCAGGTGCATGACCAAATGGTTCCATCTCTCTTACCAGAACAGGGATCACCTACATTGGGGTGTCACATGGGTTCCGTAACACCAGAGTTATTATGGAGCTCGGCCAAATTTGTGGGAAAATGCACGGGCTTTACCTGCATCTGCAGAAAGTTGGCTGCATGGAAATAACCTTTCTGTAAGGTGTTTTCCTGACTCAGGCATGTCTCAAACTGGCCAATGTGTCTTGAGGCCCTGGGCTAGCATCCAAGTACCACCTTCCTGAATTGCTACCAGAGGAAAAGGAGCCTGTTTCAGCTTTCTATACTTCTCTGAATGCTACTTTGATTAGACAGGAGATAGCAGTTTGTTTAGTAACAGTACGATTACAACTCCGGCGTGGTTATATTTTTAAGTTACACTTTCGCGTTCCTTTGCCAAGAGCAAATGAAAACACAAATTTGCACTGCAGACCCAACTGAAGCTGTGCAAAAGTTTCCCAGATATGTTTGAAAAAGCATTCTAGGCCTACTGCTGGCCAAAGGGGAAGTCTTCCCCCGCCCTTATGTCAGGAGTCCACGCTTAAAAAAAAATACGAACTCCTTTTAAAAATAAAATAAGTTTTATTGCTATAAAAGTAATGCATTTTGTTGTTTATACAAATATTACTTGGAAAACACATAAAAGTACAAAGAAATAAACAAGTACAAAAAAATCACCTATACGTTTATACTACAACATTGTTGCAAGTTTTGATACAAAACTATGGATGCAAAATGATCCCAATACACTTTATTATATATTCAGGAACAAATTGCAAAAATAATTCTGCATCTTATGTTTATCACAGAAGTAAACCACAGACAGCCACCGTTAGATTTTTGGTTTATTCTCTCCATCTTCTTGTCTGTATATTGATACAAAACTATGCATGCAAAATGTCCCCAATACATTTATAGTACATATTAGGAACACATCGCAAAAACAGTTTAGTATCTTTTTAATTCCCTGTAGTGACCAAGTCAGCGATAGCCACCTCTAGACTTCTGGTGTATTTTCTGATAACCTTTTTTTCCAATATTATTGATACAAAACTATGATTGCAAAATGTCCCCAATACATTTATATTACATATTAGGAACACTTCGCAAAAATAGTTCAGCATCTTTCCTTGGTCACTTTTACACCACGACTAAGAGATAATCACAATAAAGTTTTTATGTTTCCTGCTAGCCTTTTATCTGCATGTTGATACAAAACTATTCAAGCAGAAGGCTCTCTATGTACCTATACTGCAGAGATGGGAAAATAGCTTCTTTCAGTCACTAAACGTTTTATTAGGAGCACATTCTCCTGACATGAAAATTACTTTCAGAACCATTATTTTACATGAAAGCATCCTATTCTATTGTGCTAGCCATACTATATTTTATTTGTCCAATCCTTTGTTGGTGGTCATTCGGGATGTTCCCAACTTCCATTCTTAAAAATATTGAAATGAGCATCTTTATGCATTTTTTTTTTACTGGGGCTTTCTGTTCATGTCATTTTTATGGTTTTTCTTGACCACTTATGTGGACTCAACACATTAAAAATGACCCTGTGGGCCGGGCACGGTGGCTCAAGCCTGTAATCCCAGCATTTTGGGAGGCTGAGGCGGGAGGATCACGAGGTCAAGAGATCAAGACCATCCTGGCCAACATGGTGAAACCCCGTCTCTACTAAAAATACAAAAATTAGCTGGGCGTGGTGGCGTGCGCCTGTAGTCCCAGCTACTGGGGAGGCTGAGGCAGGAGAATTGCTTGAACCCGGGAGGCGGAGGTTGCAGTGAGCTGAGATTGTGCCACTGCACTCCAGCCTGGCACCTGGTGACAAAGTGAGACTCCGTCTCAAAAAAAGAAAAAAAATGACCCTGTGTCTGTAAGGCTTATAGCAAAGTGTTTTCCAATTGTCATTTTCTTGAGCATAAATTCTTTGTTTTCACATTCTAACAAACATATAAAATTATATACCCTATGTAAGTTTCAATTCATTCAACAGACATTTAAAGCAATAAAGACACAAATAGTTAAGGACATTCCCATTACACTCCTATGAAAACACAACTCATCCCCACAATCCCACAGCAACCCCTTTCTTCTTTGCTTAGGGCCTACTTTGCTCCTGATCTTTTTATTGATTCGTCTTGTAATACTTACCACGTGTTTTGTTATGAAGACGAGTGGCTCCCAGACCTTTCAGTTATCAATCTGTCACAAGTGCACAGTGATATCTCGTGACACGATGATCCCCGAGATGTCTGAGGTCTGTGCATCCTTGACCGATCCCAAATTTCTGTATCACCCATGACCCCTAAAGACTTTTTAGAGATTTATATTTTGACAACGTAACAAGAAAACATGGCATCACACAGACACATGCACACGCACAAAAAAAAAAAAAAAGACATGAAAAAGTAGAGAAGGAAGAAACTTCAGCTCTAATCCCAACACCCTTAAGTAACAAGTATGTTTCGCAAGTTTCCTCCAGGTTCTGCTCCTATTTGTCAATCATGGGGTCCATGTGATTTTGTTGCCCTGATTTTTTTAAAGTTGATATCACAAGCACTTTCCAGGTTTCTGAGTAATCTATCATTTTTGTTTGTAATGGCTGAAAAAGGTTCCATTGAGTGAGTGACTAGATTAAGTTAACCCCTATAGCTGGACACTTCGTTTCCTTAAGATTAATTTGATTGAATCTACAGAAAATAACACATATGGGACAGAGGTTTTACATGAATTTAAATCATGCTTTTTTGGTTTGGGCAGATTGACTTGTACAGGGCTGGGTAACTTACAGTCACTGTTTAGTAATCCTGGGGCCAATCTTGGGCCTCACCCAGGAAGGGTCCAGTGTGTAGGTCAAAGCTCATCCTAAGACTAGTCAGTTTCACCTGGAATTTTTGTAACCAAACACATTCTTGCTCTGGTCACTACTGCATAGTTGGTTCTGATAAACAGGTAATGACATAAAGAACATAGCATGAAGCCTGGAGGAAGAGGCCACAGAGAGTAGCCTCAGGCAAATCCTTAACCTCCAGAGGCCCCCGTTTTCTTGTCTGTAAATACTTTTTGGACTGCCTTAACTGTCTTTCAAGGTTGTCACAAATTTAATAAAAATGAAAGTATTTGGAAAAGTCCATAAATGCATGTACAAAGGCAGGATGTTGGGATTCCTACGATTCTGTGGCCACGCCTTTAGAAGGTCTGGTCTTAGGGTAATAGTCTCGTCTGGGTGGCAGGTAGGGGCAGACATGGGGGAACAAGTGAGGGAGCTGCCTTGGGAGACTTAGACTTCAAAGCAACCAAGACTCTCACTCTCAGCTTGCCGCAGTGTTCTGAGCTCCCTGACTCCAGCAGTGGAGCCAAGGCCATGTTTCCAAACTCCCACCAATTGCTCAGATTATAGAGCTCAGTAGTGGAAGGGGCAGTGCTCAAAGGCCCGAGCAACCACAGGAAGTAGATGTCTTCAGGGGTCCTCCCTCTTGGCTCAATTTACTATTCCCACAGGGGGTTTAAGCCTGGCTGAATGTGCCAAAGAGATCAGCAGTGGAGCTGGGGAGGGGAAAAGGCGGCAGATAGGTGAAATATTATGAAAGAGCTAGCCAATCCTTGTTCCTTCACTGAGCGGTAACTAATGGGCGGGCCTGAGTGAGATGTAGGGGGCAGGGAGATACACGTTTTCTACACTTGATGTATATATACTCTTTTTCACTTAAGAGTCATGTAATAACTCTACAAATGCATATATAAAGTTCTAGGGTTATGAGAATAAGTCACACTGCAGGCCAACGGGAAAAAAGATCTCTAAAAATGTATGCCAACTTGCATATAGCCCCTGACTCAAGTCCATTTCTATTGAAAAACTCATTGATCTTCCCAAGACATTTTAGGAACCTAGTTTTATTTTCATCTTGCACAGTCTCAGGAAAGCTGCCTGTAAGTTAGCTCCCATCTCACAGGCTCAGGTTTTCTGCAAATGTTGCCCTGAGCTTTATAGTAGTCCAGGATTCAGGAAATGAACCCAGTCCCCTGCTGCCCCATCTGCCTTGATGAGTTGATAGGTATGGTGTTTTAAAACAATCAGCAAAACAATTTGCACTACAGAGTCCTTAGGAGTTTTTTTAATTGGACAGTTGCCCATATTAACGAAAATCAAAAGCAGAATACAGTCATTCAATGTCCCAGCACAGGGGTACAGCCCACTGTTTTCCTGTGTGGGGTTCCACTTTAGTCCTTGTCTGTGTGCATGCATAAATTTTTACAGAGTTGCAACCACTGCCTTTTTCTGTGGCCCTGGTTATTGGCATCTAGTTTTCCAAGTAACATTGACACACATCTGTTCAAATCAATTGACGTTCCCATCATGACTGACTCATTTGGCGGGAAAACCAAGTTTACATGCCAATTGGAACAAAGAAGTGTGGGTATGGGGGAACAGTGGGGAGAAAGAAATGGTGGGAGAGGATTCCTTGGACTTACAGATCATAAAACATTTTCCAATAACGTTTTTAAAGGATGTATAATATTACACTGAGTGACTGATTATATTTTACCCTTCTATTTGGGACACTTGGGTGGTTTTCAATGCCTAGAGTTTTAAAATGCATATAAATTACAGCCTTTGAGAGATGATTGTATTTTCTTGAAACAGGAGTCTTCTGTGTCCACATCCCCGCCAAGAGTGTTGATGTAGTGTTCCTTTGTTGAGGAAAAAAAGAAAAAAGAAAAAAATCAGTACTGCTAACTGGAGATGCTGGATGCCTTCAAAAAAACATTCCTGTGATTTAAAGTTTTTAAAAATTATGCTCAGTTCTGAGTTATCAAAGCAACCTATGTATCTTGTCTCACAACTTACAGAAATGTGGAATTTTATATTTAGAGTTAGACTAAGCTCCTCCTAGTTTAAAAGCCACGTCTGTCTAATAAACTTTATACAATGCCACGTGCACACAGCTTCCTCACTAACAGATAACGTGTGCTGCGGAAAAAATGAGAAAACAGTGAAAAGGTGCCTCCTTGGAGGTGGTAACATCGAGTCAATTAATCAGTAGACTATAAATTGATTCACTTTATACAAGTCTCCCACACATTATGATGCATATTTAGCAATGTTGAAAAACAATTTAAAAGAATACCTTAGGGAGTTGTTAAAGAGAATTTATAGTCTGGAACGAATTGCCATCTTCTTAATTGACACGGAAATGTTTGGCTAAAATATTGCTTTATTCACATTTTTGTCCTTGGAGGAAATCTAGGCACACTGCAACTTGGACTGTGTAAATAAAGGTGCAAGGAATGTTTTAAGTCAGAAAAGGGCACCACGCAGTCAGGGGGCTACGTGGACAAGCTCAATTTCGATGCATCTCGGGAGACCCAGGCAAAGGGCCTCTTGGATTCCAGAAGGCAACGCCCCCAAGTCAGGATCCCTTGCTCGCTGCCCTCTGTCCCTCACATCCCCAACCGCTCCGGTGTCTCACCTGGGTCCTGCAGGCGCCCACTGGAGGAAGCCGGATGGTGCGGGCTTAGTCCTTCGGGAAGGCTGGCTGGCACCGGGCTTCCTTCTGGCTCCAGAGGGAAGCCTACAGAACGGGGAGAAAGGGGTAAGCTGGTGAGAGGCAGAAGGGGCGTCACGAGGTGGCTCCTCCACCCCCAAGTGCAAAAGCAGGCAGATACTGGGACCTGTTCGCCGTTTGGGCCTGGGGATCTTGGGCCTGAGGGGCCCTGGGCTGGCTGACCGGAGTGGGGAGGGAGCAAAGTGGGGGCTTCTAGGCCTGGAAGTCGCCACTGGGTCGGGTGGGTTGGTCCTGCCCCGGGAGCCTGAGGGTCCCGGCAGGCCGGGAGGGACCCAAGCAGCCCCCACGCACTGCCCCAGCGCAAAGGAGTCTGGAAGAGCCAGCGTCTTGGGCCGCTGAACCCAACTTCCAGCTCTGGACTCAGGAACCCCGCCCCCTCCATCCCCAAAACTGGGAAACTTCTAGGGGCCCACTCTTGGCCCGGAAAGCCCAGTTCCAGCTAGCCCATTAAGACCAGAGGGGTTTCGGTGTGTGTTTTGGTTGCTTTTTTTTAAAAGGGGATAAAAAGTGTGGAAAAGATTCCATGCCTGCTTCCCCATGCCCACCAATGATCCTTTACCTGCCCATGCTTCAGATCAAATAATTAGCTCAAGTGATTTGCACAGAAAAAGACTATTAGCCCTTTTCTAGTCAGGCTGTCAAGCTCCCAGGCAGGCAATGCGGAACCCCATTTCCTCACCGAAGGCTCAGGCGGCCAGCCCAGTGAGGGACGGAGGTGATTTTACAGGACGACAGTTGGGCAGCACTCACAAGCAACAGTGCCCAGGAGTTTTGGAGTCCAGAAGGGCCCCTGAAATCAACAGCTCCTGTCCCGCCCCTGGGGCTACAAAGGAGATTTGCTGGGCGGGGGACGCCTTCAGGGTGGAATTGTGGTAGATCTTTGGGAAAGGAGGGCGCAAAGAAGCTAGAAACGCTGATCCCCTCAAGGCCCCCACACTTCTCAGCAGCCTTGGGCTCAGATCCAGGTTGGCGCCTTTCACGCCGTCTTGGGTTCACCCGCCCGCAAGGCCTCGCGCCTCACCCAATTCTTCTAGGGTGCCGGAGCTCCACGGAGCCCCCCAACCCAGCAGCGGGGAAGGGAGGACGCGAGTGTGGGGAAGAGGCCGGTTACTTTGATCTTTCCTGAACTCTTAAGTTCCTTCCACACTCAGGATAGGAGCGCGTTTACCAGGAACCGCAGAGACGTGAGGACCTCTTGTAGCTGTGCACCCTTCCTCTCCCCTTACTCCTTTTCCAGTTTCCCCCGCCCCCCCCCCCATTTCATGGTTGGGGACTAAAAATGGGTTTTCTTCGTTGTCCTGTGGGTGGTATTCTGATTGGGATTTTTTCCAAATGTTTAATTCTCCCTCAGCAAGGAAAGGGGCTGCCAAAATGATGCATTATTCACGCCCAGTCACATATGCACAGACGAGGCAAACGTTTGATGGAATCTTGGGTCTCGCTGCTCCTGGGGCAGACGCCGCAGGCGGTGGCGTAAGACTTACCTGCTGGGTAGGCCCTCAAGGCAGTCCCAGACTTACTCTGGCAGCGGAAACAATACTCCAGAGTATTGATAGCTAACTGCAGAACTGTTTTCGCTGCTAGAGCACGGCTGAGCACGGGCACGGCCTCCCTCCTCGGCTCCCACCGCCGACGGGCGCGCCCCTGGCCGGCCACCCCCAACCTGGCCGGGAATACTACCCTCCCCCGAATACCGCCCTGTCCGTGGAATAGGAAGGGCCAAGGACCCGCCAGAAAGACGCAAACCCCCACCCACCTACCTGCTTCTGAGCCGGCCTGGTGGGGAGCGGGCACCTGGTGGCAGGAACTCGGTCCGGCATATCCCACCTTCTTCCTTCCCCACAAGGGGGTATAGCAGCACTTCACGTTTTGAACCATTTAGAGCACTTCAAAACATGAATTGCTGCTGTATCCCCTTGGAGTCAACGAAGGGGGATTGACCGGGGTACCTGCGGGTACAGAGACTGGATGACTGGAGGAAGCCCCGCCTCACCCCACCCCACGCTGCCCTTGGCAAGGAATAGAGTAACAGTTATGACTAGGCCACCTCACTCCAAGTTGAGGTACTTTTTATAACTTCACCATTTGATTTCCAGGAGCTGCAGGTGGAGCCGAAGTTGTGGCTCTCAATTTTTTTCCCCTGAGGATGAATCTTGGAAAAATGTAGTGGTGAAAAGAAGAGCGATGGGAAATAGGAATTAGTGTGTAAGAGAATCTAATTACTTTGAAAATAGATGAATAACATTAGGTAGAGGCAATTGTACATCTGGATCATTCTTGCCAGCTTCAAAGTCTTGGTGAAAATTCTTCTTGCTTCATATTACAAGTCTTATTCATTGACCCCATTAAAAAAAAAAAACCCCTTTATTGGAAATGGATGCAGATGACTGGAAGGAAATAACCAAAACTCACTGGTAGCTTTAGCTGATTCTAATATATATAATATATGTTGCAGCGATAGTGTATATCTTTAAAAGCATTAGATGCCCTGCTAGTGTTTTTATGCTTACAGTAAACACCCCTGCTATTTTGAAGAGCTTCAAGAATGACAGAACTTTCCGTAGATGAAATACCTGGACATTTACATATTAAAGTAGTTACTCAAACTTATTCATGAATAATTTATACCTATCAATGTCATCTATGAAAACATAAATCAAAAAGTTGACATACTTGATGTCAAGTCGCTCCTTCCTGTTTCAAGCAGCTCCACAGAAACTCTTACATGTCCTGAAATGGCCGGCACTGCGCATACTCCTTAATGATTAACTCATTAGATACCACTTTTTCCTTTTTAAAATGGACACATATTAGCAACAAGTCACATGCAAGCCTTTTTGTTTAAATACAATATTCAATTAAGCATTAGAAAAAAACCGACTCCGAAATCCTCAATCACAAACCTAAAACAACCAAATCACCACTAACTGTAATGGTTTTGAAAGTCAAAATACATTTCAGCACAAGTAATAAACATTTAAAGTGTCCAATTGTATTTTGTTACATTTACAAATTATGTTGGTTTTTCAAAACTAGTACAATGAATGTTAAGTGTCCTATTAGTTAATAAAATGTGCAGAGTATTTAAGGAGATTAAGTATAAAATTAGTAACATCCAGACTGAGATCCAGTGCTAACAAATACACTACACGTCATGGTAAACAAAGTCATTAGTGATAATAACCCCATTCCCTAAATTGGGACAATCAAGTGTCTCTACGTTCCATCTTGTTTTGGCAATGATATTTACAAACTTTTACACTGACTTTGGGATTAATGGAGAAAAATGTCGTTGGCTGCCCTTAAAAAGAAAAAAAAAAAAACAAGTTTAGCAAATGTACAATTATAATTTAAAACTCCACAACTTTCTCCCAATATTTTGTTCCACATAAATATATGAGCCATCATGTCAGAAATTAAATTCACTCCTAATTTAACATTTCTTTAGTTGACTACTTAGAAAAACAAAAGTTCATTCAAAATAACATCGGTATCTAAGGCAAAGGTCCCTTCCAGATTGCTCTGAAACTTACTGGAATCGAATTCATTTATACCTTTCACCTTTACCCCTTTCATCTCTCCGAGTGATAGTACAACGAGTTATACCCCTAAAAAGCCACCTCGATCCCCTACTTTACATATCTCCCCTTAGACTGAAATTTACTTACGAAAAGAGAATACCAAGGGGCTTCTCGTCACTTCAGGAGAGGGTCATTCGCTGATACAATAGACAAAGAATTGATACTTTCCAGTGGCCATAGCCCCACCCACTTCTGAACTGCAATGTGTTTGGCTAAATGATTTAAGAGCCAAAGAATACGCCTCTTCCTCTGTTCACATTTTACAACGTTTTGTCTTTTAATTTTGCATCTGCCTTCGTCCCCCACACCCCCAAAATACAATGTACCTTCCCTCGGCGCATTCTAGTCAAACTTTCCCAATGTCAAGTTCCCTACAGGGAAAACTGAACAATCTTGAAAGTTTTAAATCGGGAGAGACAATGTAAAATTAATCACACATTTCTTTCCAAGACATAACGTACTGCTTGCAAATAAGAGTCAGGAAAAGTTCATTTATATTCTGTCAAAACCAGTCGCTCCTGACCCCAGCGAGGCTGACAGTCGGTCACTGCCCCTTACTCAGTAATCCCTCCCCGCCCCTCCATGTTAGTTTTTTTCCCCCAGTCCGTTTCCTGAGAATTTCCCGGCCGCACTCATTTGTTAAACACTTTAAAGGTCAGTTTTGCCCCCCCACCCCGCCCCCCAAACATGCTTTACAAGCCCCAAAAGCTACAGCACTTTTTCAGAATTATCCCCCATTTTTTTTTTTTTTTTTTTTTTTTGCCTGCCGCAACCCACGCTACAATCGGGAAAGACGCCAGCCACCAAGACCTTTTTTTAAAAATCGCATGTCACCTCTGGCTCGACTCGAAAATGGCGCCGAAATCGAAGAACTTCTTAAATTTCATTGCAAGCTTTTGCAAAGGTTTCTGGGATTTGCCTGCGAAGCTGTTTCGCCGCGTTCGAGAGCGAGCGAACGTGCAAGCCAGCGAGGGAGAGAGGGAGGAAGGAAGGGTTGGGGAGGCGGAGAGACAGACCGAGCGAAAGACAGACGGACATCGACGGACAGCGACAGAAGCGGGACCCGGGACTTGGGAGACGGCGAGGTTGCAGGGCGCGAGGTGCCGGACACGGAGCGACAGGGACGAAGAGCTGAGAGCTGGGGTCTCAGCGCGGAGGAGGCGCTGGCTGAGGCCGAAGCTCGGAGAGCGGCGTGGCAGAGGCGGAGCAGAGCGAGGGGCCAGCGCGGAGCGCTCCCTGGGAGGCGAGCGGCGCAGCCGGCGGAGAGACTCCAGGAGCCGCCCTAGAAAAAGCCGGCTCCGGGGGCGTGGCCACGCGCTGCTGGCGCTCTCCTCCCCCCCCCCCCCGGTGGCCCCGCTTGGCTCCGGGGCCCGGGGGCGGAAAGGGGGAGGGGAGGAGGGGGCGGGAGGGAAGGGGGTTGTGCAGGCGCTCGACTCCGCAGCCTTGGCCCGTGGCGGGGGAGGGCCAAAAAAGACACAGGACGCCCTGAGTAACCAACAATAAGCCGAATAGGGAGAGACAATGTGAAATTAATCACACTCTGGGGTGAAAAAGCCGAGGATGGCAAACGGCAAAGCCAAGGGCACGAGGTAGCGCAGCGTGCACCCCCAGGCTTCCGCGACGGACGCCACCCCGCGCTCACCGTTCCTCTGGTGGTGTACTTTGAGCTGCCGGGAGGGCGCAAGGTGGCTCAGCGAGGCTTCTTACTTCCAGGGGGTACCTGAGATGGTTTGGGAAAGGAACCGGGGTCTCAGACCGCGTGAGTGCAGCGCTCTCCCCACGCGTTTGAGTGGCGGTCTGTCGAGACGCCCCAGCCCTCGCCACCCCACCAAGCTCTCAGAGAGGCCCTGGGACAGGGTGAGCCCCATAGTCCTTTGGTGGGCATAACACAGGGAGAAGTAATTGTTTACCCATATATGCCCAGTACAAGAAGGAAAACTGATTTTTAAGATTGAAGTGGGGAAACCGGAGAAAAACGAGCCCTTATCCTGAATGTTAGATGCAACATTTTGTATTTGTGAGAATGGTATTGAACGTAAGGAGGTCCTTATCCTTGAAGATGCATGCTGAAGTGTACAGAAGTGAAGTGTCACGGTATCTGCAGTTTTCAAATGATGCAGCTAACATATGCACACATTATGAGAACAGAAAGGAAGCAAGCATTGCAATATGTTAACAGTTGTTGCTTCCTTTTGGGGGTGGGGGGTAAACAGACGTTCGTGGTACCGTTGTTTCAACTTTCCTAAATATTTGCAAAATGCCATAATGAAAATTTTGGAAGAGTTCCCTTATAAAATAGCGCCTGAATGCTAAGAAAATGAAGCCGGCTTCTTTTCTTTTTCCTGTCCCGGGTGGGACAAATTACGAGCAAGCAGGGCTCAAGGCCAGCGGGGTCTGGACGGGAAGAGCAATGGGTAGAGCTGGCCTGCAGAGGCCCTGCCCTGGGCAGTCCAGGAGGGGCCATCGGAGCCTCGGGGAAGGTTGGCTGCCAAGCGCAAAGCTCCGCGGAGGAGCTGCCTAGCGCGCTGGCCCCGGGGGCGTTGCGGGTTGGGGACTTCCTGGCAGCTCTCAGCAACCCCCGGTCCGACTCAGACTCGGCGAGTCGGCTGCGCCACAGAAGAGCAAAGAAACCGGCAGGCCGCGAGGAGCTGAGCCGCGAGCCTGCAGCCGCAGCCGCCGCCACCGCGGCCCGCGGCCGGCCCCCGCATTCCCAGAGGGAGGCCGTAGTTGTCCCAGCCTGCAGACGGCGCGCGGGGTAGTCCAGAACCGCGTGCCAGCGCTGGGGGAAAAAAATCAGGTGCCAAATGAAAACAGCAACACACGCGCGGACACACACACTAAATCAGTTTACCAAAATAAAACCGCGCAGTCTCCTGTGCTCAGCGCTCGAGTTTGAGCTACTTAACTCTCTCGCATGCATTTTACTGTGATATTTATGTAAAGCTAATGGAAAATCTGAAATGTCTTTGCAAGGGCGATCTCGCAGACCCAAGACGCTGCAAACTGCAAGCGTTGCGCAGCCTTTCGCTGGCGTCTGCGGCTCTTTTCCGGGGCGCGGGGAGGGAAAAGAGAGTAGCGTCTTCCAGGGTCTGCAAAGCTGGTTTTGAAAAATTAACCAAAAAGGTTTTAACAGAGCAAGATTTTCTTTTTCAGGAAAGGTTTTTAAACAGCTGATACTCGTCTAGTTTCGGTGGGCGCTGAACACTCTTATTACTACGCTACAGTTTCCCTGCTAACATTTTCAAAACCCCTCATGGACAAGACCGAAAGTTTGCCGGGCTGTGAGACGTGACTGAACACGCTTCTAAATCCTCAGAGAAATCATTTATTAAG